CTCAACACTGATTTTGAATCTCCTTATGCTATGATAGATCGAGTTGACTTGTTTGAAGAGTTGCTTAGAAGGTATTAAGGACTCAACATGTTTAAGGTATGTTAAGGCTCTTCCTTCATTCTTTTGGCATGATCTAAAGTGAAATGAACATAAACGATACGCTATTTCATAATGAATCTACTCCTAGCAACTAAGGTTGTCCATGTTATTCTTTCCTTACAAAGTTATTCCAAGAAAGTATATATGATCCTTGAGTCCTAGTGAAGTTCATATTGATGGTATGATGTCCATAATGTTAATCGATGGTCCAATGACCTTATGTCACTCCAAAAGGTTTAGAACGTGACTCCATGAGTCCAGCATGCATTATATATGTATCTACTTTACTCTACCGAGCCGCGCTATAGTCGGCCGGGTATGGCACCTATTGTGCAACCACTGATCAGTTGGGTTTACCGAGCTCCACGTGGCCGGGTACGATTCTACCGAGCCTTATGATGGCCGGGTACGTTTTTACCGAGTCCTCTTTGAGGCCGGGTATGATATGGTGATGATGATGCCCACAGAGGCGTATGTTTTTAAAAGCTTATGTATATATATGTATTATGCATTTTATTTCAGTAGCCCTAGAGGCACTCAGATGTTACAGGTTGTATCTCCTCTATCTCTCTTTACATTACTGTTCTTATTTATGCTTTCCTGCCTTACATACTCGGTACTTTATTCGTACTGACGTCCCTTTTGCCTGGGGACGCTGCGTTTCATGCCCGCAGGTCCCGATAGACAGGTTGACATTCCTCCTAATAGGCTATCAGCTCAGCGAAGGTGTTGGTGTACTCCACTTGCTCCGGAGTTGCCTATTTGGTCAGTATGCTTTGGATATGTATTGATTGGTATGGCGGGGCCCTGTCCCGACCTTTATGATTTTATGTACTCTTAGAGGCTTGTAGACAGATGTCAGGTGTATGGATACTTGTATGGCCTTGTCGGCCTATGTTTTGAGTTTACAAATGGTCATGTCGGCCTTATAGGCCCGTATGTCACATGTATAAGTTTGTATATCATGTTCGGTCATCATATGTTGAGTATTCCCTTATGTTTTATTCTTGTTATCTCATGACATGTTTTCTATCTCATTTACCCTTGATAGTATGATAAGAAAGATATGTTACATTGGTACTCGGTTGAGTAAGGCACCGGGTGCCCGTCGCGGCCCTTCGGTTTGGGTCGTGACATTATGTACATTTCGAGAGTGATTATTGTATATGCCGATCGACATCTTAATTTCTTATTTAAATTTACCTGTTAGTTGTTAGCTTTTATGTTTTCGTTCCTTTACTGCAAATGTTAGGCTTACCTAATCATAGAGACTAGGTGCCGTCACGACGGTTCACGAAGGGAGAACTTGGGCCGTGACAGCACCTCCCTTTGAATATGGTGTGTCAGGGCGTCCATTGCCAGGGCAAATAAAAACGGGCTAAGCGCAGATCCTTGGTGTAACTCCATAACCATTGGACAAGAACAACTTTGAAACAGTCACATAAATGTGTAGAAGTTTCTTCACAGCTTGGGCAGTTACATAAATTGAAGAAGGGAGTTTTAACTAGTCCAAATTAAATGGACCACCTTCTTAAACGTTCAATGTAAAAGAACGTTTCCTACATTCTCCCACTTATTCCATATACAAAATGCCCAAAATATATTTTAGAGAGAATCATAATACATTAATCATGGCGATACTTTCTCTATGAGTGAGTAGTATCTTCCATGTATCACGATGCATTATCCTCTAAACTTTTGCCCATATTTCTAAATGAATAAATCCAATGTTTATTCTAGATCCATACTTTAGCAATATTTCTCAAAATAAAACTGAATATGTACACAATAATAATATGAGAAATATTATACATAATAGAGTTTCTCAATACTTGTTGTTACAACGAAATTTACATAGTGGAACCAAGTCCCATTGTAACTACATGATCCTTAAATTTTGTGGTGGCATGCCTTTAGTTATAGGATCAACGAACATCAATTTAGTGTTAATGTGCTCAATGACCACTTTTTTTTTTTTTATCTCTAACACGTTCTCTTATGCCTAGATACTTAATATCGGTATGCTTGCTTCGACTCCCACTTTTATTATTCTTAGCCATAAAGACAACAACTGAATTATCACAACTTATCATCAATGGCCCAGATATCGAATCGACAATTCTAATCCCAAAAGTGAAACTCTTCAACCATACACCATGTGAAGTAGCCTCAAAATAAACAAACTCAACCTCCATAGTGGAAGTAGAAGTCAGAGTCAGTTTGGAACTCCTCCAAAATATACAGTCAGACCTCTCTATAACAGCATCCATGTATAACAACACTTCACTATAAAAGTCAAGCTTTTCCGAAATCAATTTTCATGTTATGTTATAATATATGTTCTATATAACAACACTTAGCTATAATATCCAAAAATATTCAGAACAAACGAGGCTGTTATGGAGTAGCTCCACCAGCCAACATAAAAATGTATCCTGATGTTGATTTACGTGAATCAACACAACCAGCAAAGTCTGAATAGGAAAGTCAATTACCTCCAAGCTATCTAATCGTTTTACATAAGCATGTAGTCTTTTGTCCCTTGAAAGTATATTAAGACTTTCTTTGCAGCTCTCCGGTGGTCAAGACATGGGTTACTCCGAAATCTTCCCAACATTCCAACAACAAATTGAATATCAGGTCTAATACAAACCTGAGCATACATGAAACTTCCAAGAACAAAAGCATAAGGAATATTTTTCATTTGTTCCCTCTCAAGGTCGTTCTTCAGACACTGGTTTAAATTGAACATGCCACCCTTCACTATAAGAGCTACACTTGGTGAACAATCCTTTATCCGAAATCTCTTTAAAACTTTGTTGATATAGGTTTCTTGAGGTAAACCTAAAATAGCTCGATGTCTATCTCGATGAATCTTAATGCCAATGACATAAGATACATCACCATATGTTTCATATCAAACTTTTGAGAGAGAAATTGTTTCACCTCATATAACATTCTCTTATCATTGGCTGCAAGAAGAATATCATCCACATATAGAATTAGAAAATAAATTTTACTTTCACTGATCTTATGCTATATACATTGATCCATAATGTTCTCACCAAAGCCAAATGAAGAGATAACATCATGAAATTTTAAATACCATTGACGAGAGGTTTGCACTACAACATTTTATGCCTACAGCCACACTAATTTAGGCAACGCTTAAAAAGTGTTGTCAAAAGTATCTGTAGGAACACTCTTTAGGCGTGGCCTTTGAGTATAGTCTTCGGCCACAGCTTTTAAGGCAACACTTATAGCGTTCCTTTTAAGTATAAAGACAACATTTTTCAAGTGTTGCCTAAATCTAAAAATTTTGGCCACGCTTTTTGGGTGTATTGCTACGTTTTTAAAGAGTTGTTATATTGTCATATTAAATACAACACTTTACAAGCGTACCCTAAAAATTCTTTATAAAATATTTCCCCAAAAGTTTCCCACCAAAACTACACTTTTAAATAAAATATTTTCCCCAATTCTAATAAGGCTAAAGACGTTCAGTTACGAACTATAGGCAAAAGTCTAAAATTTCACTCAAAATTTCCCCCCAGATATTAGAATTAATGAAAATATTCCCCCCCCCCACCCAGTACAATATCATCGTCCTTTCCCCAATTTTTTCTCTCACTGCAGCTTCACCTTAATTGCCTCACTGCAGCTTCACCTTAATTGCCTCCTTAACCTAATTTATTCCTTTCAATTCTCTGTTGCATGTGTCTTCAGATTACTCTCACCCATATATTGCAAATCTCCATCCCTTTCTCTATTGGTAAGTATTTCTTTGCTCAAAACTTTTCTATTTTTTTCAATTTTTAGTTTTGTTCTTATACTTTAAGATTCAATTTTTCTAGTTTCTTAGTAATGGGGATGAAAAAATAATCTTTTATTGTGTACAATATCTGGGTACCTCTGTACAATCTTTCTTTTATACTCAAGGCTTTGAACTTTTTATAATTTCAGATTCTTGGGCTAAAAAGAAGTAATTTTGTTTTGTTTAATTTTGGGTATGCTTCGTTAGTTTGGGTTTTCGTTTACACTATTTTGGCTTCTGGGTAACTATAGATTTATTGATATGTACTGTTTTGGACCTTTATTTGTTTGCTTACTTTGTGTTTTTCTTTCTTGGGTTAAATAGATTAATTTGAGTTCTGGGTAAACGAAATTAGACTAATTTGTTTGCTTACTTTGTGTATTTCGTTGGTTAAATAGACTAATTTGTTTGCTTACTTTGTGTATTTCGTTGGTTTTCTTGTGATTAATTGTTTGTGGGTTCTTTAAGATAGACTTTTTTTGATGGCGGATTTTTTCCTTTAGATTTGTAGATATTTAAGTACTTTTTTGGACCTTTATTTTGTCTGTTTCATTTGTGTTTTCTGTTAATTGTTTGTGGGGTTTTAGTTTAGGCTTGAAATCCTAACTAAATTGTTCTCTGAAGCATTACGTCTAACACTCAATTCCTTAGAAGAAAACACACTGCCTCGCTTGTGGTTGCATTGTCACAGGTAGTAGCTGGAATTATTTGTTGCAGCAGTTTAGGATCATTTAGAGTTGATGAGTTTATATTAACACCCTCCTCGTCTGCTAGGATTTCAAATCCGTTTCGACTGGCGACAGTTTGTAGAGCATTTCGTCGATCACCCGAATCCCTCGTCTTTTGTTACTGTGTCTTCGCACCTGTAGGTGTGTTCTGCTTGGTAAAAGCTTCCCTTACCACAGTCCAATCATTCCAGTTGTGTTCTTATTAAGTCAATCTTCATTGGAGGAAGTTGAAGCATGTTCATGTCCTTCCAAATTAGTAGTTGCAGCATTCAAAAAAGTTGTTTGTACCCCAGCATTGGCCTGAACATTTACAGGATTTTGAGGGCACTTATCCTCTTTATTCACTGCCTTTGCACCTGTAGTTTCTGTATTATCCAAAGCATCACCACATTGTTGTGCACCAGATTTTAAAACCTCACCAGTAGATATAACACTGCTGCTTCTTGTACTTGTTGTTTTACATAAATTTTCACTAGATTCTTTATGATAAATCGAAACACGGAAATTTGATATGTTAAGATTATGACTTGATCTTACACTTAGTAAATATAGTATACATGAAATTTTGATATATTAAGATCATGATTTGATATTACTCTCAGTAAATTATGGTAATATGAAGTATCTCATTTTCACTTTTTTACTCTTTTCATTCTTGCATATATATCAATGCCAATAAATCAATAATCATTATAGTCACAGATCTTCATGATACAATTTGAAAAGAATATTCCAAGATGAGAAAAACAGCCCAATGCTCAATAACCAAATCTGGAATTCCATAATATAGATCTATGGCAACTGAGTTGTAGAGCTACTCTAACTGTACAGTGTGTTTAATTGGTCAATTATTGCATATGCCCCATAGATGGCAGATCTTGATATTTGCACAGTCCAAGTTCTTAATTCTAGCTGAAGGAGAGAAGTGGGTAATGACTGGTCTTCGTGATACTTGGAAGCGACACAAGAGAAATATTAAGAAGATATATTTTGATAAAAATGCTACTATTGAACAAATGCTACAAAATCGTCCCAATGAGATACCTGAAGTTCAGTTCCGTCAATTGATTGAGTATTGGAATGACGAAGATGTCCAAGTAAGATTAAACCGTGCATTTCTACATTTTCTACCTATTGTTGCAGTATATATTTTTTCCCTTTTTGATTTATTAATTAATATGCTTCTTTTGTTGTTAGGCTATGGGCCAATTGAATTCTGAAAACAGGAAAAAACAAAAGTGGAGGCATCGAATGGGACCTATTAATTTTGCAAGAGTGTGTGTGGCATTGGTAATATTTAGTCGACACTTTGTAATCTTACTTTTATTTTTTTTTGTACTTTGTCGGAACAAAGTGATATCTTTTTTATATCTTCTTTGATGTAATTTGTAGCGCGCAATCAAAGAGAATAACGAGGAACCATCAAAGTCTGAAATGTTTATTACAACTCGTACAAAGAAAGGGAATGAAGTTCATACTGATACTCAAGTTGCAATAGTAAGTCATGCTGCAATTTAAGTCTTATTATTGTATTTTTTCTCTTTAATGAATGTGTTTCTTTAACTGAAGGAAGTCCATACGCATATCTGTAGTTTCTTTTGGAAACTATTGACCTTTAGCTTATTGTTCATGAATAGAGAAGTGTAAAATTTGTTTTTAAATGGTTCATTATCCAACTCATTTTTTGATTGATAATATGGGTGGATAACTGTTTTCTTATAACTATTTTGCCACCTCTAGATTTGACCAAAAGAAATGCTTCCAGGAAGTGAAATTACTTTGTTCGTTCAATAGAATTATTAGTCGATGCTTATGAGCTGATTATTAGTTATTTTACATTATAATGTGTATGAATCAATTTTTCGCAACTGCAAAAAATTTGAAAATTAGTTGAAAGCATCTGCACTGCAAAGGTTCCAAAGAAAAGTAAATAAAGGTGAACTTAATTCCAATTTTCAGCTCTCTGATTGTTTCAGTAGCTTCATTGATCAACCAAATGATCAAGCGTGCTAAAAGTCTCATGAACTAACAAACATTCTGTAAATTACATCCAGTGTTCATATCATCCATGCAATGCTAAGAGGTAGTATTATTCGTGTGGCAAATGAGACACCTCTTTGGAATATAAAAAGTTGCATAAATTAGTTATAGCTGAATTACCATAGACCAGGAATAATGTTGAGAATGAGAAATATTTGCTGCTGCATCTTACCATCTTTTACTGTTGGTGAATTAATTCCAGTACCCATTTCATGTGCAAGTGCATCAGAAAAATTTGTAGTGATAATATCCTTTGATTGATTTAATGGAGTACCAACATTCTTCTGTTGATTTTGCCCCTGCCTGGAGAGTTCCCTTGCTTATTTCTTGAGATTGCACTTATGTCCTTAAGCCGCAAACTCCCCACAGCATGATCATGCTCTATATTCAAAGCATCAAAGGTGTTTGAGCAGTTGATTTTCCTTGAATCCTCACATAGTGCACCTGTAAAGATTTCTGCGATAATCTGATTTTCATGGTCTGGATTTTTCTTTTTGTTAAGTGATGGATGAGATCGAGTAACCTCTGTCTACTCTCGATCATTTAATTGATTCACAGCTTGAGAACCTGATTCTAACAGATGCGTGGCCTCATTCTCATGCACAGCANTGATAGAACCTTTTTTGAGGATAAATTCTTGTTATGTTTTTATATAATTGAGCCATAGCTTTTCTCTATTTGTTCAACTACGTTTATATTCTGGTTGATTGAAGAGCTCTCAATTAGCTGTGCCTATTTAGTATGCATAACTCGGGAGAGAGTGCATATTTAGGTAATTGTTGAACAACACCTCTCCCAGAGTATATGAGGGATCAATAACCGAGGGTTTAAAGGTGGGATTAGGGATAACGAAGCCTTGGGTGCGATCTGAAGTGAGCTGTATTAAAAGCCAGCTAGCGTAGCTCGGGAGAGTGCGTCTAGTAAATTGTCGTAATTACTCGGGAGAGATTTACGGTAATAAGAGTGCTCATGATCGGTAGAGAATACTTAGGCGAAATTATAGAAGACATAGCGAGAAGGATTCCGACAATTGGGGAAATCATAACTCTAGACCTCCTTAATCTTTTCTCTAACCCTCAGTATCGTTAGTTATTAATTTACTATTTTAATTTGTTAGTTAAGTAGTTAAATACAAGAATCTTAATATCTATAGGTTAGGAATTGTTCAAGCTTGTCTTCTTGGTGATAGTGAACAGCTGTAGCTAAACCTTAGTTCTCTGTGGGATTCGACTCCGGACTTGTAAACCGGATTATATTTGCAGCGACCGCTTAGTCCTTTTTATAAGGCATAGTTGGGCGTGATCAATAAACTATGATGTTTTTGTCCCAAAATGATCACAAATTTCCTAAAATAGTAAACCACAACGGCTACAGCTTAGAAAACTTCAAAACTTGGCCTAAATATGTGATTCCTATCTATTTATAGTAGCTCAAAATTCACTGACAAAAATGCCCCTCGGGAGGTTCTGCGGCCGCACAATTCCATGTGCGGTCAATTGCTTGAGTTTTGCAGGGGAATGGATTATGCAGCCGCACAATTTGGTATGCAGCTGCAATTTTGCTTCTGCGGCCGCACAATTCATGTCCGGTCCGCACTTCGACAAGGCTTCAATCTTGGTCATTATGCACACTCTCTGAACTTTTTGAATTCTTGTCAGTGCGGACCATGTTCTGTAGGCGCACAAATTGTGTGTGGTCCGTACTTCTCTTTATTCCATCTCTGAGTATCAGCAACACATTAGCGGCCGCAAGAGGAATTCTGCGATCCGTACTTGCTTCTGCGGCCCTAGAAATACTTCTGCGGACCGCACTTTTGGTATGTTACGCCCCTTTTGCCTTGTGAGCCGGAACACTCTGGATTTCTTCGTTTTAGCCCAAATCTCCAACATTCCTGCAATTTGCACACTTTCATTAGTTTTTGTAACATAAATCAATACTTTCGGACTAAAACAAAAGTAAAAAAGGTACTAATAAGTGGTCAAAATCCACACTTATCAGCCCGCTCATGACTTGTGAGACCTATATGAACCTAGAGCTCTGATACCAAGCTGTCACGACCTCATTCCCACAATAGGTCGTGACGGCGCCCAACGTCGCTGCTAGGCAAGCCGACAATGAACTAATCATTTAATTGTTCATTTTAATATTTTTAAAGTCAATGATTTTATTTAATAAAGAGACAATTAGTGGGTTACCGTGGTAACGTAAAGCATGAAATAAACGTAACAGTGAAGTAGCGAATTTAATAATCAATATCATGAAATATCTAATAGAATTTTTCAAACCCCGATGTCACAAATGCACGAGCAACTAATAGAATATACAAAAACTTATATACTACTGTCTGGAGTAAGATAGACAGAAAAATAAATACAACAAGGAAGAGACTTCGGGTGCTGCAGAACGAAGCATAGGGAGTAGCTCACCACTAAATTTTCGGATGACGGGGTACGTGTCTGACTGGCCACCAGATGCACCTGCCTCTGATCCTGCGCGAGTAGTACAGAAGTATAGCGTGAGTACATAAACAACATGTATTAAGTAAGTATCTAGTCTAACCTCGAAGAAGAAATGACGAGGGGTCGACATCCACACTTACTAGAGGTCAATAAATAATATGCAGAAACCATAAGTAGGCATGATATACAACACTAACAGTGAAATAAGAAGCACTAAATAATGATTCCTAAACATAATGTCAATTTAAAGTCTCCAACTATCATATGCCAAGTCTTTAACACATGAGAGACACCAAGTAATTTTTCAAGTCTCAAATCAAGAAAGAAATATCAAGTATAATCGGACTCCGAAAAATATCACGCACGATTTATGCCGATGTCGTACGGCCCGATCCGGAATAGTGTGTACACTGCCGAGGGTCCACCGACGCGAATCATAGATCCATCTAATATACTGACGAGGCGCTCGACCCGATCCACAGGAATAGAGAATACTCTACAAACTCCGGTTAACGACTACTACATAAGAATAATACTCAAGGAAGGCATGAGTTCCGCTAACAATCGAGTATTCCGCCGAAACTCAAAGTAATGAATCTCAGTCTTTACAAATCCTTTATCCACTTTCAGTTATAAATTTAGGTAATTAAACTAACAAGTTAGGTGTAAATAATACATGTAATACATGGTGGAGTCCTAAAACTACCCGGACATAAGCATGATTTTAGCTACGTACGGACTCTCGTCACATCGTGCGCACGTAGCACCCACAATTATTAGCAAATAACTATTTATAACACCTACGGGGATAATTCCCTCTTATTACAAGGTTAGGCAAGAGACTTACATCGTTTCCAAATCCTCTTCCCGGTCCACAATTCACACTAAAAGCCTCAAATCGGTGCTGATCAATCCAAAACTAGCCAAAGGTTATACAAACTAATCAATATATACTAAAAAGTTCAAAATTTAACTATTATAGTAATTATGCAACCCAATTTGGAAGATTCCTAAAATTGACCTCCAGACCCACATGTCCTGATTCACAATTTTTTTGTAAATAGATGTTACACATAACCTTACGAACACAAATATATAACTTCTACTCAGTCCCATAATATTTTTCGTGGTCTAATCCTATTTCTATCAAAAACCTAGGTTTTCCACAAAATCCTACAAATTTTCACAAGTTTTCATGTTTAATCTACCCATAATCCATGTATTTAACTTTAAAATGGGTAGAATTTACTTACCTTGTGATATTGATGAGAATCTCTCACAAAAATGCTCACAAATTCGCCCAAGGCCAAGTAGAAGTGTGTGGAAAATAGGCTAAGTCCCGAAATAAATGCACCCTCATGCCTTGAGATTTTTCGCTTCTGCGGCAAATTCACTGCAGATGTGGTCCTCACTTAGGTCCCTCCCCACTGCTTCTGCGATCCAAAACCCGCTTCCGCGAGTTCGCACTTGCGGAACATTTCCCCATATGCGGTTCTAGCCCAGTCGGCCCTCTTCCACTTCTGCGATGCGTGGCACCTGCGTCCCTGCCCCTCTCCCCCTCCCCAACTCTGGTGCACTTATGCGGATATCTACCACTTTCGCGGTTACGCACCTATGCTCCCTCGTTCGTACGTGCGGACTCAGCCCACTTAGCTAAAACACGCATATGCGGCTAGGCAGACGCTTCTGCGGCGCTGCACCTACGACCCAAACTTCGCAGGTGCAAAAACACCAGATCCAACAGCCTTCAACAATCTTCTAAGTTCAAACATGTTCCGCACGTCATCTGAATAGTACTCGAGGCCCCCGTCCAAACATATTCTTAAACACAATACTAACTCGCTCGAAGTCTCAAATCACATTAAACAACGTCAAAATCACGAATCGCACCTCAAAACCTCATTAATCAACTTATGAACTTCAAACTTCTTTAACTAGCTCCGAACGCGTCGAATCGTACTTAGACAACTCGGAATGACACCAAATTTTACGTACAAGTCATTAATCACCATACAAACCTATCTCCATGCTCGGAATCCCAAACGGACCCCGATTTCACCAAAGTCTACTTCAAACCAAATTTAAAGAACTTGAAAACCTTTAATGCGTCAACTTTCAACACTAGACATCATGCTCCTGGATCACTGAAACTCGATCCGAACACACGCCCAAGTCAAAAATCATCATATGAACCTATTGGAACCATCGATTCCCTGTTCCGAGGTCGTTTACTAAAAATGTTGACTCAAGTCAAAGTGGCCATCTTAGACCACTATTAAGGAACCAAGTGTTTCGATTTCAACCCCGAACCCTTTCAATCCCAACCAACCATCCACGCAAGTCATAAAACAGTAAAGCACATACGAGGAGTCTTAATTAGGGGAACATGGATCTTGAAAGCAAAACGACCAGTCTGGTCATTACAATAAATATGTATATAAAAGATATTCTATTGGTCTCAATTTATGTGATAATGTTTATCTTGATATAGAGTTCAAGATAGAAAAGAAGACTTTCGAAATTGTAGTTTAAAATTAACCATAAATATTTGTACGATTATAAATTATTTAAAATATAAAGTTAAAAGTTAAATTATTCTCATATAAACAAGTAAGACATTTTTTTTGGATGGAAAACACTAAAAAAAAAAAAGTATGACAAATACATTGGGTAAAAAAGAATACATATTCCCCCCGTTCCAATTTATGTGAACCTGTTTGACTGAGCACGGAGTTTAAGAAAAAATGAAGGCTTTTAAAATTTTTGGTCCTAAATAAATCACAAAGGGGCCCAAAGTATTTGTGTGGTTATAAAAACTTCTCATTAAGGATAGAATTGTAAGTTCAAGCTAAATTGTTATCAAATTTAAAAAGGGAACATTTTTTTTGAAACGGATAAAAAAAGAAATAGATAACATAAATTGAAACGGAGGGAGTACTATGCATTTATATGTTTGGTGTGAATATCATGATGTGTCCCGTAAAGGTGAACTAGCATTAATTGTGATGGATCTGGGCGAACTGAAGCCCACTCTGTCGCTGATGTCAGTAAATAGCCTTAGGAAAATGATGAGGCAAATAATGATTAAATTGCCAGGAAAGGTAAACAAAATGTTCGTAACGTAAATAGGTAGGCTCGGAGAGAGTATCTATGGAATTATGATGACACATAATGCATTTTCTCCCTTTCTTTTCTTCCCTTTGTTGACCAACTTCTTTTGTTGCGGAGGGGTTCATCTACCTTACATACCTGCTTGAGGTTGCACAAAGGGCCTTGGGTTGGTCCTGTTATTTTATGTGATATATATACTTCTTCTCAAATTTTAAAAAACATTTAATTTACCCAAATCTGGTTCTTTATATATCCATAATGTGTAAATTATAGTTCAACATGTCTCTTCACCCAAAAAAAAAAGAAGAAGAAGAACTTACCACTTTTTGAGTTATGCCACAAGAACATAAATCATGTGAAATGTCGGCTTCAAAGAACAGAAATATATATTCAATTCTTAGAACACTATTCGGGTGCATATAATATTCGATATACTTGGACCTAGCTTCAGTGACATATCCTAAGAATTATGCTATAGCACGAAAGCAAGGAGTAGCTTACATTCTCAACCACGTTCCTCATTTTGATTTCACACGACTTTGACAAATTCAACTGTATCCATATCTTTAAAAAGGAAGAAAAAAAGGTGGCACTTTACGTTTTGAGATAATGAAAGGACCCAATTACTTAGTATCAAATTTTAATGATTAGTAGTTGAACCATGCGAAAATAATATATGTAAATATCAACAAACGAATTAGAGATCAATATAATTATTTTAAGAGACGGACTCTATAAATAGAATAGATGAATAAATTAATTCTATCTCATAGTATTTAAATCCGTTTTGACCATGAAACACCTATATTAAATTGGAGACAGGTACCGTTAGATGTCATTTTCAGCTTAAAGTCATAATTAAACAAATAAATCTGCACTGCTCACGCCCGAATCAGCTTATAATATTTGGACCATCCACAATAGATAATGCTATTATACAGAGCAATCACTACTTTTCTAACTTTTAAGGACTAATTAAAGGTATTTTTTAAGTAATAAGCAACGGTAAGAGTATCTTAGACATGTACTTAGCAGATTATTTTATGGAGCATTACATAACACTTCGACTGTACAACATAAATTATCACACTCCTTTTGGTGATAGATGCACTTTTATTCTTAATCATTAAAGTATGTATACATTTAATAATACATGTTAGTTGGAAATCCCAAATTATCCAAATATGAAGTCATATATTATGTCTTTATCGGGTTTATCTTATTACCCAATAATGTTATAGATACTACCGTACAAATGCTAATCTAGTGTGGGCCCCACCAAGCATCCACAAATCGACGGCTCTGCATCCAAACAAAGCGTTCGCTCTGTCACTAATCAGTTTTAAATATGCTTACATAATCAAGTGAAATCATCAACTTAGAAAATTTACTAAACTTTAAACGAGCTGATTCAAAAACCAACATGAAAATTTGAGTCGGTTTTCAATCTAAAGTTACTATGTCTATTGCAAAGTTACCATATTGTTTTCACATTTGCAAGTGTTTTTCCTTTATTTGGGCGAAAATGTAAAAGATAAAGATCCAAGTTGAGGAGAAAGTAGTAGAGTAGTTGATGATAAGTTGCTTGATTGAAACAGGTGGGGAATTGTGTTTATATGACAGAGAAAGAACTGTGTCCGATGCAATAGTGTCAAAAAACAATTTCGTCTTTTTCCTTCCTATTTTTATTCGAAGATTAAAGGCAAGAGAGGAAAGAGAGAGAAGCACCTTATCTCTCTTGAAGAAAGGACATTAACAATAAAGGCAAATACCAAGAGAAAAAAGAAGAAGGAAAGAACAGAAAGAGGAAAGTACTCACACTCACGCCCAAAATCGCCCACCTTCTCGCTCTCTGCTCGTCTCAATCAACCCTCTGTGTCTCTCCATTTTCAACCCCAACATATCAGAAAAATTGCTACAGAGTACAGTACCATGTTAAAGAGTACCAAAAAGGTTGCTTTTAAAATTCTATTTTTGAGCTAACCCTGTCTTCTATATGGAGGTTAAAGAAGCTTTTTGAATCATTGGGATTTGGTAGATTTTATGAGCATGTTACTACACTCGAGTGTTATGGTGAGTTTTGGGCTGGTTGTTGCCGACTGTGTAGTCGATTTATAAATTTGATTAATTTCTTTTTCGGGGAAATTTAAGCTGAGCGGCATAAGATGAATCATTCAGTTCCTGATTTTGATATGGATGATGACTACACTATTCCTACTTCTTCTGGTCTTACCAGACCTAAAAAGTCTGCAATGTAAGCTTTACGCACTTTTTAATGTTTTTTGATTTAAATGAAAGGTTTTCTGATTTGTGATTGAATGAAGAGTTTTTGCTTTTTTTTTTTAATGGTTTCACAGGGCGGAAGAGGATATCATGGAACTATTGTGGCATAATGGACAAGTGGTTATGCAGAGCCAAAATCAAAGATCTCGGAAGAAATCTCACATTACCAACGGCGGTGGCGGAGGTGGTAGCGGTGATGCACTTATTCCTTCCGAACAAGCTGTCAGTAGAGAGATCCGACATGTAGAGGAAACTACTACACCACAGCAGCTGTTTATGCAGGAGGACGAGATGGCCTCGTGGCTTCACTACCCACTCGATGACTCCTCCTCCTTCGAACGTGATCTTTACGCCGATCTCCTTTATTCCACACCGAGCGCAACCGTTACAACTGCTGCGCCGCCGCGAGAAATCCATACGCCCACGGTGGAGATCCGTCCACCTCCGCCGCAACCATCCCCTGCAGCGCCGATTACAGTGGCTCCTCGACCGCCTATACCTCCTCCTGCAAGACGTCCCGGCACTGAAAGCTCACATCGGTTCCAGAACTTCGGACACTTCTCGCGATTGCCTAGTCGAACAAGGTCAGAACTTGGCCCGTCAAATTCGAGCAAGTCACCTAGAGAATCAACGGTCGTGGACTCAAACGAAACTCCAATTTCAGGGCCTGAATCTAGGGTTTCACACGTAGCGGATAATGTAGTACCGGTTCCCGGCGGAAATGTAGCATGTGGAACTGTAAATGTCAACGGAACTGTGACAGCGTCAACGGCAATTATAGAACCGGCGACGACATGTGAGCTTTCAATGACGTCATCTCCCGGCTCAGGAAACAGTATAAACGCCAGCGCTGAACCACCGTCGTCGCAAACGGCGGCGTTGGCGACACCGACGGCTGCGGCATCAAATGATCGGAAACGCAAAGGAATAGAAACGGACGACGGGGATGGTCAGAATGAGGTGAGCAGTTAATTTGTTGTTTTCTTCCTTTGTAATTCCCAATTACTCGCACCTGTACCTGTCTGTTGAGCGCTGTCGTTTTTCGTGGCTCGCAAGAATATCTAACTTAGGGCGCATTTTAGCCCTAGGGGGGATTTTCTCATTGGCCACGTCATCTGCCTATGCTTGACGTACTGCGAGCCTATTGTTTGTGGCTGTGGTTCATTTGAGTGCCATAGTTTGTGACACGTGTCTAAATCACTAAACCAAAAAAATTGTTTTATAGCATCTAGGTTGGTGTCCGGGTAATATTTTGACTAGGCACAGTTTAAGAAAAACAGAATTATCTTTGAAACCTTAAAAGTTTAGGGATAAAAATTTTGTGAGATCATGATATTTTTATAGTTATAAAAATTTCTCATTAAGGGTAAAATGAGTAAAATGAAGAGTTTAAAGTTAAATTATTTGAAACGGAGGGACTACTTGTTCTTCAAAAAAAATCTTTTGAATATTTTAAGTACTTCTAAAATGCTAGTTCCTCGTACTAACTTATCTGGTGCGATTTAATTGGGCATTCAATTTTTAAAAAGAAATACATTAATTATTTTTAAAATTTGTGATCTAAATCAAGTTTTAGATATTTATGTAGTTATAAATTATTTTAGATATGTAAAATGATACTCCCTCCTTTCCAATTTATGTGAACCTGTTTGACTGGGCACGGAGTTTAAGAAAAAATAAAGACTTTTGGAATTTGTGGTCCTAAACAAATCAAAAAGGGGCCCAGAGTATTTGTGTGGTTATAAAAGCTTTAAGGGTAGAATTGTAAGTTAAGCTAAATTGTTTCCAAATTTAAAAAGGGTTCATTCTTTTTGGAACGGACCAAAAAGGAAATAGATCCACATAAACTGAAACGGAGGGAGTATTCATTTTAAACATAGCAAAAAAAAAAAATGTATCATAGTGGGGGGAGGGGGGATTAAAGTATTATTTATGACTAAATAGGTGGCAGCGCACCTCCAGTAGTGAAGAACAGTCCAGATTGTTCAACAAGGATTTTATCTTGGTTTCATTTTAAGCGTAAAGTCACGGGACTGTTTGGACTGTTGTTCCATTTTGTCCCATTGTCTGTTTTAACCATGGAGAAGGGCGGCTCAGAGGGGGCTGTACCTGTATTCATGTTTCCTTGAAATCAGCATAACCCTATGGTGTGCTGACCTTTTGGTAACCCAGCAGTCACAATAATTAAAATCCCAGTTTCATGAGTACCAAGATGCTAGTAGATGAGTAGTAAATAAAGGAATACTATTTTATAACCTTCTTAAACTATTTTAGGTCTTGTTTTCCACTCCTTCACCTCGGGGTCAAATGGCCAATTATAAGATAACGTTTAATTTAATACAGCAGCGCTGCAAATAGTTAAGTAGTATCAGTAAATCTAATGAATGAAGTTTGTTTGGCAAGTAAGGTAAAATAAGTCCTCGCTGGTTACCACAAGGGACTTGGAAAAGTTGGGGGCAGCTTGGAAAAGAATTATGCTCTAATGAGTAAGCAAAGGAAAGATGTGAACTAGTTGCCTCGGGGAATGAGTCCATTACTTAAATTGTCACACAACTATCTCAAATTATCTGGTAAATTCATCTTTAACGAAAAAGAAAAGTCATGCCTATAAGCCCTCAGAAGGTCATTCAACTAGATTTCTCAAACTTTTGATAGTCAAATACCTATTTTCCCTTTAAATTTTAACTTCCGTCTTCTTTTTATTTTAATTTTTTTTAATATTATAATTGTTCTCTTTTTAATTTACATTACGGACTTATCTATTGAACAAATAAATTTTATTTATAAACTACAAAAAAAAAAAAATGAAAAATTAGTTTCCTAGCATATATAATATCGGAATAATAAAATAATTGAGTATAGTTTTCAAGAATATATAATATATGGTATAAAATACACCTCTATTTCAAATAACTAGTTTTTATATTACGTGCATGGGATATGTATTTTAAATTTTTTTATTTTCTTTCATTCTTAATTGTGTGAATAAATTTATGAGTTTTTGTTGTTAATATCAAAATTATTACAACGAACAAATTATTCTAATTAATTTTTTTTGCTACGCTCAATATTTTATTATTCCAATATTATATATGATTAAATACTATTTTATTTTTTATTTTATAAATAAAATTTATTTATCGTTTAGGTAAGTCCATAACATAAATTTAAAAGATCAAAAATTATAATATTAAAAAGTAAAAAAAAAGGGGCAAAAGTTGATAATTTAGAGGGTAAAATAGATATTTGGCAATCAAAAGTTTGAGAAATCTAGTTGAGTGACCTTCTGAGTGCAATATGCATAGTTAAATGACTTTTCTGTTACAAACGAAAGAAAAATGACTTTATTTGATAATTTTGAATAGTTGAGTGACCATTTGAGTGATGGAATCGAATTCTTGCTGGAATAATATAGCACGGTTAGCTGTATACTTCCTCGGTTTCAATTTTGAGTGATGTAGTTTGATTGGGCACAAAATTTAAAAAAGAAAGGAAGACCTGAAACTTGTGGTTTTAACATAAGCATTTGTTTAGCTATAAGACTTTTGAAATTTATGGTTTTAAACATACCATAATATTTGTTTGGCTATAAAAGCTTATCATAAGGGTAGAACGAAAAGTTCAATTGTTTTGAAATTTTTGAATGTGTTATTCTTTTTTAACGGATTAATAAGGAAATAATAATCATTCTATTTGGAGTGGAGGGAGCACTTAATTTCTGCATGTTTCACATTACAAATCACAGCGGTGGTAGTTTGGTTGAATGAGGCAACTTTGAGCTGACAGAGTAGAACTTCCTTTGCAACCGAATTGATCTGACTTCTGCCCAAAGTAATAGAAATTCATTTATTTTTCAACTCTCTTTGAACTTTGAAATGTCTGAAAGGACCTCAGTAGGATTGCATAACTGTTTTAACAAGATACCTCATCAGTTCCATAACCAGTACATCTGGTGAAACTCACCTCAGAGCTCCTTGTGGCTTTTCCTGATTCTAGATTGTATAGAGTGTACTAAGTTGTACCAGGTGAACCTATAAACAACTTCTATATCTGTTTGTTCCTCTGGCAGGATAACAAATTTGTTCCAAGCAGAGTCATAGAATTTTTCTGGATGTATTAATAACATTGATTTCACTTTATCCTCTGTTTACTGCTTCGGTGTATTACTTAGCAGCTTTAGTGACACTTGATTAGATTCTAGAGAATGAGACAATGAGTAATTGGTAAAATCGATTATTTTCCCAGAAAAAAAATGAAGTTGATTAAAGAGAAAAAGGGTGGTATATTGAAGTTGAAACACTTTCTAAATTTAGAGAGGAATGGGGGCAAAGGAGAACTCATGAATGCCAAGAAAATGTCATGATTTTTTGAAGTATAAATTAATAACTACTAGGAGGAGGTAGGAAGAACTTTTCAAAAAAAGTTGTGATGGTCGAGGTACACTTGCAATAGCTGGCCCACTTTTATCTTCTTTCCTCCCCAGAAAGCATATGCGATCTTACTTTTTGAGAGATCATGGTAAATATTTCTGTGATTGTTAACTTTGACATTTGTGATGCCTTGCCTTGCGGGAGAAAGACAAGAAATACTGAAAGTTGAGAACAAATTCTTGCTTCCTGTTGAGTTTACCACATCATATATAACTGCAAACCTCTGAAGCAGACCAGATGTTCCGATCGTTCTTAGTTTTAAACATTTGAGTCTTCTTCAAGTATTTTTCTTTGATAGATTTATGATGACCCCGATTTTACTGTTAATGCTTCATTAACTTATATCTCAACTGCCCTAGGACGCTGAATTTGAGTCTGGTGATACAAAGAAGCATGCACGTGGTTCAACGTCTACAAAACGATCTCGTGCTGCAGAGGTCCATAATCTTTCGGAAAGGGTATGTATTGTGGAATTGTTTATTTGAGGATTTTGATAATTCTACTGCTTTTTCTTGTTTGATTGTTTAATCAACATGCCAATGCACCAATCAACACAGAGACGTCGAGACAGAATTAATGAGAAGATGAGGGCTCTGCAGGAACTGATACCACGCTGTAACAAGGTTTGACCTCTTCTTTGAGTTCTCTACAATGTCTAGAACAGATAGTTTACTGTCCTCTTAATATATTCAAGTTAATCTTCTGTTGAATTTCAGACAGACAAAGCTTCAATGCTGGATGAGGCAATTGAGTATTTGAAATCACTGCAATTGCAAGTGCAGGTATATTTGTTAACACTCTTCTCTG